TAGGGTTGCAAGACTACATTAAATGCAGTGAATTTAAGCTACATTTTATCCCGAACAGCAAATAAAGGGATAAAAATGGGAGTGGAAGTTTGTATCGGGAATTAAAACGTTACCATAGTAACTATTGTTTACTAATAAATTTGACATTGTTATAATATCCATGTCATGATATGAATCGATATCCAAATAAACAGTTCCCTGGGGACGAAGCGGGCGAAGTCGCTAGTGAAAAGCTAGTTAAAAAATAACAAAGCATAACTCTTTTTATGGTTTCCAGATGTAATATATATTCTTCTTCTTGCCAAACCAAAACCAAAACAAAAATTTTAAAAATAACGTTTATGTAACTAGTTGTGACAAAATCAACTGACCACGCACGCAGGTAGCAGCGCTGCGTCGTGACATAACGTTAGGGTCATTTCCATCGCAGCATTTTGTGCTTTATGATCAAGAGATCAAAGCTTACAACAGAACTAAAGTATTTCTGTTTCAACTGACTAAAGTTAACATTTTTATGGTAATTACGTAAATTAATGTCACATTTGTATGTTTTTTCTAGGAAGCAGCAAAAGCCTTGGGTTTCTACAGGTGTCTTAAACCTAGTTCCAAAGAAATACAGAACGAATTGGAGTGTATCAAACGAGTTATAAATTCAGGAGCTGAAGGTAAGAAGAGCTACTTCCTAGTTGATATAATAGAAAGCGTTTATTTGGAAAACATTTCAAAATAACATATTACATAGCAAATAATACGAGCAATCAATTATACCGATCGAGATTTCCACTCAGTATGAGCCGAAGCAACATTTGCTACTGGCACTGATTTTCAGCAGATGCCTATGAGTTTTGAAGTTTAACTAGACACTGATACAACAAAAACATTATTTTATGTTAATAAATTACTAACTCCGTCACAATTAATCGATTAAAATTATTAATGAAAAATGCTCAAAAACCCTCTTCACGTCATTGGTCGTGTCGCATGTCAGAGTGCCAGGTACAAAGTTGATTTTTTAAGCATTTTTCATTAAGAATATTTTTCAGCATAGCTTTGTTAATGCAAAATATATCAAATATAATAAACATTTTAGTTTTTATATTCATATTTATTACTTTGGTCAAAGGTTGCCATCATGCCAATCCAGAAGAAGAAAAGTTGAATTTTGATACGAAAAAAGAAAAGCTGTCACTGATACAATTTATAAGTAAGTTTAAATTTTATGTACACAATATTTCCACTTGTGAGAAAACCTAGTTTTGATTACATTGTTTCCAAGATTGCAATTTTTTATTTAATACACACCGAAAAAAGGGAATCTTATTAGTCATGTTCCAAAAGTTCTATTCTTCTTCGCGCATAAAGAATTAAACGCTCAAATGCACAGAATCGCTTTGTGGTTTAGAGAAGAAACTCAGAAACATTAGTCAAAGCCTCCAGACAAGACGTTTGACTTGCTCGAATATCTTCCAAGATATCCCTGTTGAGAGCAGGAGATGCGCAAATTCACAATAGAAAGAAGTTTCTTCATTATCGATGACATAATCCATCCAATAAGTAAATATTCAAATAAGTATTTTTTCAGGAAAGTCTCGGTGCACCCAGCGAGCTTTGTTGATCAGTCTTACTCTGATGACGGCTTCCATCTTCCAAGGTCTGGCAATTCTACAAGTGTATGCCGAGCCGCTGTTTGCGGAAGCTGTGCCGACAATACATCCTAACATTTGCAGCACTATATTAGCCGTAATTTCGGTTATATTTGGTCTGGTTGCGGCGTATTTGACTGATACAGCTGGCCGAAGGGTAAGCTTGCATATAGTTTTCTTTAAATATTGGTAAGTACTAGGAAGATAATAGAATAGTAATACTAATCGTCCACCGTTTATAAAAGAACTGATGTTGGTGTTTTGTCCTCACCACCACTGTTGAACTTTGATTAATACGAAATTACGCATAGGTATACAAAAATTATCTAGAGCGATACTTGACATAAATATGAATATATCATACCGACAATATATACTTTGAGTCTATAACTCCGTAAATCTGCCTAAGAAGAATACCGCTCTCCGGTACAAAGCAAGTTTAACTTTAATCATGGTTTCCAAGTTATCACCATTAATAATTGTATTTGAGTGATCTGCGAATATAGCCAATTTAAAATTTTCAAAGATACGATAAATAAAATTCAAAACATGAATAGTATGGGTCCTAAGTCAATTCTCAAAGAACACATTTTTAAATTTTACGACTTTTCTCTACCCAACGAGGTGGTTTTAGAAAATAAATATTTATTCTTTAAATTTAATTTTAAGAGTTGTAATATTATGTTGTTCCTAATACGATAAGGATATTTCATAATTCACCTAATCAAAAGCCGGTCAAAAAACATATAAATGTTATTGCGACGCGTTTTCCACAATTCACACCCTCAAACTTTTTGTGTCAAACAACTCATCATCGTGTATCATCGTATCAAGTATACATCAACTACTTTTTTAATTTTGCAGTCAGGAACATGCAAAATACAGAAGGTAACAATCAAATGTAAATCTTATTTTTATTGTTTTCAGCCACTGGTGATATACGGTTCGATAGCATCCGGTTTCACGTGCCTCCTGCTAGGTTTACAGATCCACTTACATTTGGGTCCTCACTGGCTGACAGCTGTGGCCATATATTCCTTCTCTATAGCATACATCATTGGACCGGGAACTGTGCCATTCGTATTCATAGGGGAAGTCTTCTTACCAGAGGTAAAGTTACACAAAAGTTAACAGTATAAAATTATAGCACTAATATGATGATATAATGATTGTTTTGAAAAATCCTGCATCAATTAATTATATTAATGTATTTCCTGAACTATCACGTACAAACGTTAGAACTACGTGTATATTACGTGTAATATTTAACATTTGTTTTAGGTAAAAAGCTTCGTTTCCATGCTGGTATTAGAATGGACTTTCATGTGCTACTCTATAATACTTTTCGTCTTCAATCCTCTCGTATCACTGATGGGACTGGGACCTGTGTTTTATGTGTTCGCTACAATATGCTTTTTAACCGCTGTCTTCAGCTACTACTTCCAACCAGAAACCAAAGGACTGACTATGGATAAAATCCAAGAAATATTTACACCAAAGAAGAATAGAACAGTGTTCTAGATATTAACGTTCTAGGCAATAACAAATACAAGTTATGTACAAACAGTACTTCCGTTTTAATAAGTAGCGTCAGCGAAATTCGTCTGCGAAAAACAGAAAGTTAAGCCGGTGGAATCGAGTAAAGACAACTCGCGACTGTTGAAATGTCACAATGACGCGCATACATTAACCGATGGTGCCAATTCTGTTGTACCACGCTCAATACTAATTTTATTCCATTGTCATGTGTAAACGAAGATAATTAATTGTAACCCTGTTTATATCATCATCATCATCATCACCAGCCCTTTTACGTCCCCACTGCAGGGGCTCAGGCCTTCCTTATGGATGGTTAAGGAGGAGGATGGGCCATGACCCTCCACGCTGGCCCAATGCGGATTGAAGGGTATTAACGACTGCAAATGCAGCCGGGACCAACGGCTTAACGTGCCTTCCGAAGCACGGAGTAGCTCGAGATAATAATTTTTTTGTCACCCATCCCGTGACCGACCCTTGCGAAAGTTGCTTAACGATTACAATCGCGGGCCGCGGCGCTTATCCACTACGCCACCGAGCTACTCTGTTTATATGCTATATTATAATTAATTCATTTCTGTTATCTTTGTTATTTTCGCAATTTGAGGAAACATTCAATATGACTTAACCCAATTTTAGTCTAGTTTGTGTAACAGATGTACTACCAATAGCAAAAAATGCAACTTGCGCGTAAACAGAACGTTATGATTGGCTAACATAATATTCCAATGGCTTGAGTGACCAACCGCACAGATACATCGATGTAACTCACGAACATGTCAAATATACGGTTTAAAATCAAGTAGAGAAGTTTGACATTTTGTATAATCTGATATGCCGTAAAATAAAAGTATTTACTGGCGTTTGCTTGTTTGTAAATATTAATCAGTAAATGATTTTGTATTAGTGGTATGTAAGTAGTATTAATAAAAATATATCCAGAGAAAATTACACACGATTATTGGAGACGTAACTTGCAAGATATTCTGAAATGAGTATCTTAAAAAGTTATGTACAAGGAACATATACTCTTAGAGAAGTTATGAATGTTTATGGTCTTCTAGGAAGTTTGACTATAAAGGTCGTATCAGACAGTTAATATCTTATCTTAAAATAAAATATCGCTTGCCATACGTTTCAATGGCCCAGCACACACGGCTTTCACTTTCATGGCAATATAATATCATGTTTTCATATGGTATCTTAAGATACAAAATAATATTGTATCTTTAGATACCATCTGTATTTGATGTATGATAGCTCACAATGTTGAAATATGATATTTTAAGATATCTTAAGATGAAATCTCATATCATTTTAACCGTCTGTTACGAGCTTAATGATGAAGGCATCTGTCATCTCTCATTGTATAACTATACTAGCTTTTGCCCGCGACTTCGTCCACGTGGTAAAGTTACTTTTGAGCAGTATTTATAACGAATATTTATTTATTCGGTCCATTAGGTACTGATAGATTCAAACTAATAGATTTACATCCTCCATCATCCCTTATTTTAACTCCATGGGGATTGAATTTATCAAAATCCAATTTAAGCGGACATGTTCATCATAGTAGCTCCAATTTTGGATTTCAGCTCAATCAGTCGAAAATCTAAGTAGATTTATACAAATTTTCATCCCCTATTTTATCCCCTTGGGGGTAGAATTGATCAAAATACTTTCTTAGCGGATGCCTGCGTCATAACATCTACCTGCATGCCAAATTTCAGCCCGGTTCATCCAGTGGTTTGGGCTGTGCGTTGATAGATCACTATGTCAGTCAGTCACCTTTGAGTTATATATATTTAGATAAGGTCAAAAAATCGATGTGCTTTAAGATAAAAACCAAATATAATTTAAATAATTTTAATTAAATAACTTACAATATTTAAAAACATGCCACATCAATCTACTTTGTTACATAATATTTGCCAGAATAGTAACCAAGTTGGTAATATCAAAGAAGTGACCACGTTAAAAAGCCAATTTCCATAAATCTGAAAAAGAAATTATTGTGAAGTATTAATCAAAACTAAAATGATATCAGTTAAATATTGTAAAATTATTAGTATATAAATAGTGTGTATATAAATGTACGTATGTAGTGTTAAAATTTATAATTTTTCTTTAAATAATATGGTGATTTTATTATTTTTTATTTCCCTCTCATTAATATCATATGTAAGGTAATAGAGTTAGATCCAAGGGCCGCCAGACATAACTTTTTTTCTGACAAGATTAGTCAAACACTACTTACATTTATTAAATTGTAATGTAATCTACTACCCTTCCGCCAGTGGCTTCGCCCGCGTGAACTAGTTTTAAGTCCAGAAATGGGAAAACTCCATAAAAAGTTTCATCCCCTAATTTACTCCTTCGTGCTCGAATTTCGTAAAATTCCGTCTTAGTGAGCACCTACGTCCTAAAAAGAACCCGCATTGAAACTACTAGTTTCATACGAACTTTCATCCCATAATTAACCTCCTTTTCATAAAATTCCGTCTTAGTGAGCACATACGTCCTAAAAAGAACCCGCAGGCAAAAATTGAAACTCCTAGCATTTGTAGTAACGAAGTTTCATAAAAAAATTTAATCTCCAAATTTACCCCCTTAGGGGTTGAATTTCATAAAATTCCATCTTAGTGAGCATCTACGACCTAAAAAGAACCCGCATGCAAAATTTGAAACTCCTAGCACCACTTGTATTTTCTGAGATTTCGTGATGAGTGAGTGACTTTCGCTTTAGATAGCATAATCTCTATGTCATAGAAGTCACAATTATATTTCTAAAAAACATTATTATTTATCCAACATAAATGATATCTGTAAATTGCCCATCGGACTAAGCTAGCAGGTAGACATACAATTTCAATATATAGTGAAACTATACTACCAAATTCTACACATTAAAGTAACTAACGTCCGGTAGCCCTGAGATCGTGATCTTAAAGAGTATATGTGCAATACCTAAAAAGTAAGGCTCAGAAAAAATCACTGAAAATATCGACACTGGTTAATGAGACAGATACAAAGTTTGGCGTTTTGCATAACATAAAAATAACTTTTATTCAACTTAATTACTGTAAAGTCGCTTAATACCGGATCACAACTACAAAGTGAGTTATATATTCATCATCAACATCATCAGCCCTTTTACATCCCCACTGCAGGGGCTCAAGCTTTCCTTATGGATGGTTAAGGAGGATGGTCCATGACCCTCCACGCTGGCCCAATGCAGATTGGAGGGTATTAACGCCTGCAAATGCAGCCGGGACCAACGGCTTAACGTGCCTTCCGAAGCACGAAGTAGCTCGAGATAATAATTTTTTGGTCACCCATCCCGTGAGCGACCCTTGCAAAAATTGCTTAACGACAACGATCGCGGGCCGCGGCGCTTATCCACTACGCAACCGAGCTACTTGGATATATTCATGAATATTCAATATTGTCATCAGCCTATCAATGTTTTCACCGCTAGGGCTCTGCCCTTTCCTATAATTAAAATAGAGTCTAAGACTTAGCCATAATACGCATATGTAGATGTTATCGATTGCTGATGCTGCCAGGACCAACGGTTTAACGTGACTTCCGAAGCACGCACAAGCTCGAGATAACAAAGTTTCGGTCACCCATCCCATAATCAGCCATTGAAAAAGTTAACCGCTATCTCTATATCCAAGTTTCAACTTCCCGACTTGTTCACTATAAGAAGATAATGTAATCAATATTTTCTGTGATACTCACCATAGAGTCGACTACAGCAAACATGGTGGCTTGCATAGCGGCATCTCGGCCCCTGGAAGCCATTTCCAGAATATTCTCTTCCGGAAACAGAACACGACTGTACGCTATCATGCAAAGCGTCACACAGCATAACGGTTGAAGTAGCAAGCATACAACTCGTTTTATTGCCAACATTACACTGAAAAACAGAACGTAATGATAACGAGATAAAATAGACAATATTTAATATCCCGACTTCCACTAGTCAGCCATTTTGGTTTCTAAAAAACTTCTACGATTCAATAGCTCACATCTACACACTCAACAATTATCCAAACATTTGAACCTTTTTTAGAACCTTAATTTGCTGGGTTTTTGAATTTGGATAAATGAAATGCTCCCTATGTAATATATTATAAAAACTTGTTTAACCTACCTCGTGTGTTCATAAGTTTTAAGACAAATCTTTTACTTAAAAAATAAAATAAAATGTTATTGACTGGTACTTTTTTACCAATTTGTAATTTTTTAATGAGAATTTTTAGTTTATTTGTATGGCAAATTTATTTGTTTATATTCTCTCGTGATGAAGGAAACGAAACAATTACGTACAACTGTCATTACGTTATTCAAGGCGGGAAAAAACCAATGCAGATTTTCCGTGAGCTGAAAAGTTTCCCTGTAAGCCGTAACTTCGACTATTACACAATATAGCGGTACAAAGAGACAAGTTCTCTGCAAGATTGCTAAAGGAGTGGTCGGCTACGATCTGTCGCCTGAACGCCTGCGAACATCAAAATCATCCGAGAGCGACTGCGCCGAAATCCATGTCAGATTCAGAAGAAACTGTCTGCAAACTAATATTTCGCGCGTTTCAGTAAACAGAATACTGAAATATGATCTTAAGGTAAAGGCCTATAGCCGTAGAAAAGTTCACTTTTTAAACGATCGTCTTCGTAAGTTACGACGCAAACGTTGTCCATTAATGATGCCAGGAAGATACTTTTCACCGACGAGAAAATTTTTACTATGGCAGAAAAGTTCGACCGACAAATCAATAATGCATGGAATGTCTCGCGCACTCATAATCCGGCTAGTGTCATGGTATGGTGTGGAGTTTCGTATGAAGGTGTCACTCCGTTCTATTTCTACTAACAAGATGTCAAGGTGAAAGCCAAGAATTATCATAGTGACATTTAGAGCCCGTGGTGAAACCCCATGTCTGATACGTTATTTTACAATAAGGATTGGGTTTTTCAGCAAGACTCGTCGCCATCCCATAATGTAAAAAGCACCCATTCGTGGTTGAGGGAGAATGTGCCGGACTTCACCGCGGCGGGCAAGTGGTCCTCCTCTGACCTCAACCCGGTGGATTATGCTTTTGGACTGAACTAGAGCTCAGGGCTTGCCGAAAGTCCGAATCTTTTTTACTGAAAATTTTAGAAATATAAGTTAATTATTAAAAAAGTTACGCAACTTTTATTTCGTCTCAAAACTTATGAACACACAAGGTATAATCTGAATACTTTTCTTTATCACCGGATTTGTTTTTCATTATTGGCCTTTGATTTATGAAGTAAACTGGACGAACCGTTGCTTTGAAAAATAGAGAGACCAGTGAAGCCAAACAAAATGTAAAATAAACTACTTTTGTTCAGTTATTATCATTATAATAATATAAATATCTGCCTTTAAAAAATACGCACCTTCTTTTTCCATCCCTTGTAGAAACACCAACTATCAAAGATAAAGGTGTATATAATACTGCAATCACCAATCCCAAAGAAAAATTATGCATACCCACAGCTAAACAAACTGTGGCCAACTCTATTAGCAGGAGAATGTTAACTAAAGTCAATTCGTCATGGCTCATACGACCCTTGCGCAAGAGTTTAGGCAAAAATGGAGTAAAGGCTGTTAAAAAGAGAGATATGATTATCAGCCCATAATATACTGATACTTCCGATGGTAGACCGTATTTCGCACCTGAAATGGAATGGTTGAGTAGTCAGTTGCAAATAATTCTGGACACAGGCCTTTTTATGGTAAATTACAATGATATTAACAGAAAATATATACTTAAAAACACTGCAACTTAAACGACAAATATCGTACTTTGTCAGAGGACTACGCGCGTTTAAAACAAACCAATTTTGCGCTTATTTTGTGGTACCTGAGATTTATTAAGTTAATAATAATCTTGTAGTAAACAAACTTTGACAGGACCTCTCGTGACTATCGCGCTATCTGGTGAGCTAAAATACGGTAGCCCTCATTGTCGAAAAAGATCAGGACCTAGGTGAATTTGCATTACAACGAAAGTAATATTTATGTTAATTCCAACTGCAATATTAAAAAATATCTCACCAACATAACTTAGCAGTGCCGGTGAATTCATTACAGCATAACCCAATAAATGAACGATGAAATAATTCGCGCCAATATTCACTATACTCATACTAGACGCGTCCTTTTTCAACTTCTTCGATTTTTTTGGTGTAACATCCTTTTCTTTCTGCTCTCCTGGTACTGCAGTGTCGTGTTGCTTATGTTTTCTATGTCGCAATCCACTTTTTTCCTCTCCCGTTTTTTCAGTGATAATTTCTTCGGTTTTCTGTTCTTCTGGTGCATCAATATCAGAGTTTTTGCGTTTGGTAGTGGTAGACTGTTTATCTGCCTCATCATCACCATCTTGTTGTATTGTCACCCAAAGAGCCAAAGCCCTTAATAACATAGCAACACACAGAAGACACAATGACGGCATATATTGCCCTAAAAGTGGTAAAAAAAAATAAGTATACTATTTCTATTACTGTTAAAATGATAGGGCAGAACTCTTAATTGAGATAAACACTAAAATTAAATATAGATAAAGTATTCTTAAAATTAAGATTAGTAAATTAAAATATAACTCAAAATGCTCACCAATTGATATAAACCTATTCGTAGCAGCCAACAAATAAAAGAAGTAGCTCTGATGAAATCTCTCTAGGAGATTATTCAAAGACCTGAGGATACTTTCTAAGGCGATGCCGAGGCGATAGAAATTGGCGGCATTTAGTCCATGTACTTTGGGAGGTGTGCCAGCAGGATCATTAGCGTCACGACCTTCCAAACTAACAGCTTCGATGCCGAACCGATGGAACAAACCATGGTTACCGTTTGGAACCTTTATTTGAAAATATTCAAAATTTTAATGGATGTTTGTGTAACTAGGTGAATAGTAATATTAGCTTGATCTGTCTGTGTTCTAATAGAGGTGATGCATGGGTAAAAAAAAAATTTTTTAGTCCGTCAGTCAGATAATACAAAAGTATTTGATACATACTTATTTTTCTTTCATTAAACAATAAATGGCTTAGATAATAGACATTAAAGTTAAGGAGTAGGGAGTCACTACGTCACAACTATGTAGAAAACATGTTGTTTTAAGCTTACATGGCCATTTACGTTAGAATGACAGTTATTCCGTGATCATGGCGCTTGCAGTAGCGCCGAAATATCGGGTACTCAATAAAAACGTGGTAGCAATCCCGTAAAAAAAACTATCATTCTTACTATAAAATGTACAAAGGTGTGACGTCATGTGACATTTAACTCAATGTATCGCCGTAATTTTGATTACGAAAAAAAAAATCTTCTTTAAAATCTACCTGACGGACAAAACAGTTTTTAGTTAGCCATAATCCCGTTTTGAGCAGGACGAGTAGCATGACGGCTGGGACTCGAGTCCTGGTTTAAACCTTGAAACACAACTCTCTACGAATTGTGTTGATAAATGCCGAGCACAGATCGACAGTGGGACACATACTCTATTGTAGATCAAAACAATATACTTTTGTGTACTCTTTTTTTCGCCCGCGTGATTTATACAACGACAAATATGTTAATTGAGGCTTATTTGTGTCAAAAAGTAACAAAGATACAAATGTTGAAATTTATAATATTAGAAGGATTTCTTGAGTGTGTTATGTTCACGTCGACACTCTCCACCCAAGAAAGTGTAGATTAAACCTTCAGCAGTACTTCCTGTACCTTATGTAACACTAATAACTGGTTCCAAGGCGTCGCCATCTCTGAGGTCCCGGGTTCGATGTCTGGTCAGGTCAATGTAGGAAATAGACTTCGTTTATACTGTCTCGGGTCTGAGTGTTGCACTTTCATTGTCTCAGATACATCGTAATACGGGGCTATCATGCTTTGGCTACTCATCTTGGAATCTAAGCAACTTTGTCTATTTTTTTTTTATTATTTCAATATCACTTCCATATTGATTACATTTGTTTAAATGAAAGTAATGACTAATACCTAATATTTTGAAGAAACAAATACTCACTCCAGCGATTTGGGCAGACACCATTCCCATCATGGTCCATATACCACTCAGCCATTCATCTGTTTTACTACGGGCCTTAATCCAGGAATAGCTGGTATGATAATATAAAACATAATATTATGCAAATATTAGGAAATACAACACATTTAAATCCACCAAGGCGAAAGTATCGACAGCTCAGATATGTAGTTGCCTACCCAAATGTGATTAAAAACCCGACCATGTTGACCAAGCTGTTGTGCTGACCAAGCTGTTATGTTGGAACTCCTTTATAACAGTGGTAACAGAAATACAGCATTTGTGAAAATTTAAACTTTCTATTGTGGTTCATGAGACAGATGAACAGACATCAGTTTAAGTAATAGGGTCAATTTTACCCTTTGTATATAGAATCCAAAAAAAAACAAACTAGCATTACCTAATGTTCAATAAACCATCAGAAATTATATGCCATTAAGTAGATCTACATATTATCAAAACTAGGAAACTAACCTGTTTTTATATGAACGATTTATACCGGATTTGACGCATAATCTATGTACTAAATTGACTAGATCCAAATTTGGTAACTGACCATTGAGCCCTTCTACTTTTACCTCTATATACTCTGAAATAAAGTGTAAATTCAATTAAGAAAATTGCAAGAAAATATATAATATAAGAAAAATTTGTCAATTAACTTACTTATTTTTGGTGTATGGAACTCTAGATTAATGGCAGCCTGAATAGAGCCTGATCTTCCTCTCAACTTGCCTGGATTCAAGCATTTTTCATGATTACTCGCCAAATTCAAACTTGCTTCTATTTTACTAAAATCAAGGGACGGATTACCAGGCTGCCAGAAACTACCAAGACTCATATAAAATGTTTTGGTATCGCTCTGGAGTCCATGGTAAGCTTCAAGCCATGCTTGCATACCAAGTTGTTCATGTTCAGTCACTAGGAAAATTAAATCTTTGGCCCAGTATTTTTGCGCTGTAAATACATACAAAGATGTCAATATAGTAAATGAAATAATGTTATATAATGAAACTACTTCGCTACAACTGCAGATTAGTGTTGCTAATTTAAAATATTTAAGAGTTCTAAAAATGAATTCTATGTTATTGGTAATTAATAAACCTCCTAATTTCTGAAATTTTATTTGAAATATTAGAACATATTATAACAGAATATTAGAACAGAGGATAGATTAAGAACAGTACCTACTTCTGACACTTTAAGTAATAAAATCAATCAAAGAAATTTGATAGTTACTAGTACTATAATGCACTACACTATAAGTGCAATCACAACCCTTCACATTAACACTAATGGCCTGATGTCCTTTTTTAATTAGTTTACTACCCCTTTTTTCCGTTCTAGGTAATGGCTATCCAACGCCTTGTTCCTAGGGTACTATTGGGCTTATATGATTTCTTATAAATATTTATAACTGTCAACATTGTATGTATATTAAAATAAAAATCATAATAAAAAATAATACAATGAATCTTTATATGACATTTTATGCATGAAAATCCAGAGTTCAGATAAGTTTGAAATTTTTTTAATAAATTCTAAAAACTCACATCTTGCAAACTGGGCAAAAGCTAGCATCAAAGCTATACCAGCTCCAGTGCCCTTCTGGTGTGAAGCTATGGATCTGAATGGGGCTGTCACCACTAATGCTTCCAATGAAGATGTACGAGGTGCTCTCAAGATTCCATAAACATTTGTACCTTTGTAAACCTAGTGAACATTTTTTTTATTTATTTGAACTCATTTCATATAATTAATTCCAATGAAGCTTACTTATAATATAATATTAGTCATGCAACAAATACAAATATATCATTAAGAAAATATAGAAATAACTAGTTATAGTAGTAAGAAAGTTTAGGTTCTATATTCCTTTTTATATTGTTTTATCAAATTCATTTATTTCTTTTTTTTTGCCGAGCACAAAATTGTTGATAATTTTTTTTTATACAAATTTCAGAGTACAGAAAGCAGGAAGCAACAAAATCAATGTGAAAGTAATTCCATATAGTAATTATCAGGTATAATTAAATACTTACTTGGCCTTGTCCCAGCGGATAATTAAGAGTAAAGTTATGTGTGTACACTTCCAAATGAAGTTGTGACATTTTTGCTACTAACCATGGTACTGGCATATCATCGTTATCATCATATTTGTCCTGTAACAGCAATATAAATTTATACCTTCTTTATGTGTTTTCATTTTTTGTTTCTTAATGTTATTTTGTTTTATTTAAACCTTTGTTGCCACCTATTTTTTTTTTACTTATATCATAAAATTGTCTCTAAACTAGAGACCTACCTAGAGCAACAGTTCTTAATCGGACCCTGCAAGCATCACAAGTGGTCCACAGAGCTTCATAAAATGGTAAGTTATTAAAAACAATCAATAAAATTATCTGCCCTAAGCCACACCAAGCAGGCCAAGTGCAGATTGGTGGGTATTAATAATAGTAGATCAGCTGGGGCCAACATCTTTTCATACCTTCTGAACCACAGAAGAGTTCAAGATAATAAATATTCGGTCACCCATAATATCACGGGCCATTGCAAAAGTTACTTAACAACCATATTGCAGACAAAGAACACTAGCTAATGCACTATCAAGCTCTTTAATCTCCTAGTGCTATGGAAAAATAGAAAATCGTTGCTTATGTCTAAAGGGTTAAAAACCACTTAACATATAGCTACCCTGTGCCAGCAATTCATCAGCAGTAGGAAGCTCTATTTAAGTAAATATTTCTTATTACAGAAGAATGTTTAAATAGCAATAAGTATGATACTTAACATTAAAAATGTTAGAAAAACTACATTGTCAGGGAAACTCTAAATATATGAAGCTCTCATTAGTGTGAAACCAAATTAACTTATGTTATTTACTTCTATGCAAAATAAAAGTTAGAAAATGTCTTGTAACATAAATGTTATTTAGAAACAATGCAATTGTACACCACCTCAAGTTCTTGCTGAAAGTCGCTGAAAAACTGCTTAGCAGACTGCTCCCCATTGAATTCATTGGTTACTAATCCAGGCAATAATGCATTCTCGGAAAAGTAAGTCTCATTATTGAATTCTCTATTGCCTAACATCACAAACCATACAAGGGCCCCCATATAACACAAAATACACAGTGGTCCATGAATTCTCTTGAGAACTCTTACCCATTTTACGGAACCATAATCAGGATCTGATAACAAACCCATCCTAACCTTTAGGAATATCGATTTTTAACAAATTATCAAGAGGTACTGACAGAAATATATATCCCTCTTATTCTGCCAAGTGTTAAACGTAATGACCATATATTAAACCATTTTACATTATTTGTCTCACACCAGACAAGATTTAAGAAATCGGCAAAATATGTACGATATGTACCTACTTTTGGTTATATTTATTTTGTGTGAATGACAGCACGATGACACTGACAGCGAGCGAAGCAAAGTGACAGTATAGGACAGTATGCACTTTGTTTTTTCGTAAAAAACACAAAGGATTTTTTATTCATACAGTGATTTGTCACTAAAGATATCTAAACAATAAAATCTATAAAAAGATAAATAAAGATTTTTTTGTTGATTAGGTAGCCAAAATACGAGTTTTGCTGAGAACATGCTTTATGCTTTCATTTAAGTGGCTCGATAAGTTTTAAAAGTAAGTACTTTTAATTCGCAATTAATTAAGTGTTCCAAAGCGTAGGCAAACTACACTGGCCAAATCTTGAACACCTTTCATTTTGTTCTATGTTTCCGCTGTATTTTTGACTTTGACTTTGTATTTCTTTTTTATTATTCATTATTCGTAATAAACATTTCAAGATCTTTCTGAATGTCAATTGAAAATTTTTTCACCAGTCCATAAATATCATTAGATTTTGTTAAAAAATACTTAAAAACTCCTTCAAATTATAAATGAGTACAGTGAATAACGTAAAAAGGTTCTACGTGTTAAATAAGTTATACATATATTTAAAATGAAACCCAGAAAAGGGGTATGTAATTATTTTATTTAAGTACCTACCTTCAAACCAACATAGATTTAGAAATTCTTACGAACTGTTTTTATATTCTACTTTTTTTGTTATAGTTTTTATATACCTACTTATCAAGCCTAGTCAGCAGTTTCATTTCCTAACCAATACCTAAGCACCGAACCCGTCACACTATTATATAACCTGATATGTTGTTTTTACTTACTTTTTATTTTTTATTTAGATGGAAAGATAGCATTTCAAGATACTATAATATGAAACTTCTCGTAATCAATTTTGAACTACAAATTTCAATTAAAATTTGAAATCTTAAAATAATACTTTGCACCTTTATTTATTACATGTGGCAGAGAACATTATTGAAAATATACAAAAAAATATTATTCTGGATGAGAAAATACTGAATCATTATTAATACAATAATTCAACAATTTATTAAATCAAATTATTAAATAAAAAACGGTGATTATCTAAAATATACTTATATTTGCTTTGAGTGAGTTTTATTATTGTATTGTAAAATGCTTAGCAACGTTATAAAATTAATCGTTATTTTCGAGTATATACTACATGGTACACTGCCACATAGTCAAATATCAAAATAGTGCCTTTTTTGTACAACTAAGGTATTTTTATATTTGTATCTTTAAATTTGTATTTTATTCGATATTTGTATATTATAATAATCTACTCAAAAAGACCCATCCGACACAATGTCACTTTTTAACAATAGCAATTAATTTCACATTTGTGTGTATTATATTTTTTGTTTAATGATATAGTTATTGTAACTTACGAGAATTTATATTTATTTATTAAACGAGTATTCATTAAATAAACTTGTAACAACATGCCCTTTTTAAGGGGTTAGATGTAACATAAGAGTTACATCGCAAGAATGAAATATACAGCCAAATTAGGAAAATACATTTTACTTATTAATACATAAACAAATCATTATTTATATGTTCAGTATTCGACTTTTGACAGTAAAATAACCTTAATATACGTACAAATCATACATTTTATATTCCCTAAAATAATAAATAACGAGAACCTTTTTGATGTTGAACATTTCAACTTATCTAAAGAGTATTTTCAACTTATCAAAATAGCCAAAAAGCCAAATCAATAAAGTTTAACGTTAACATTTTAAAAATCGGTAATCTTATTCAGTTTCATACAAATTTCAACAGAAAAAAATACATATTAATGTAATACCCATAGCCTTTCATCTAATTAGGTACATAGCTATCGCTTTAATATTGATATGAAGAAACAATTGTGCAATGGTAACATATAATCCTTCTAAATATTACAAGTTATATACACGTTGCCTCGAAGATTTGCTACAACTTGCCCCATGGGATCGTTTCATAAACTAATTCTAAATAAATATACACTTCACAAAGCAAACAAAACAGACATAAGTATCCAAATAAATGCTTACTCTTTAATATTGAATATAAGTAATAAATATCAGTTCGACGATGACATCCGCAGACATCCCTGTACTGCATCCGGGCGATTTCGGTTCCCCGCTCTCATTGGTCGATCATAATTTTATTGACCAATGAGACGATAGTGTAGAAGTTATCTGCACTAAGCGTGTAAATGAGACACTAGGCTTACATGTCGCATCGTATTATAAGTCTAAAAATTACACTAAAGTTTAATCTTATATTTACGGATAAAACCTGCTGTTACTGGTTACCCGTTAGAACAATTACATCTCCTAATCCGTCTTAAATTTTAGAATGCATTTTTATTAAAGTATTGACTTATATAATTTCAGTGAACAATTACAAAAATACTCGTTTGTTACTCAATATTTTCTCTATTTCTTCAACTGATTTCCCTTTAGTTTCGGGTAAAAGTACCAAGGCAGCAACAGCGCCAAAGACGTTTATGGATGCATATATAAAGAACATTGTATACATCCCAAACAATTCGCTAATAGGAATGAAAACTACTAGTTGTATCGAGAACATAAACCACGAATAGGAGATCAAACACCCCATCAGCTTAGAACGAACCTGTAAACAGAAAACAATTTGTTAATGGAAGATTGCTGTTCAAAAGAGTTTTATTAATCTTACCTAATTGGAATACAGAGAATTCTGATTAATTTATGTAATAGTTATTTTTTTACTTTTAGCGAGTCCCAGATATTTTGACCCTGTCGCAAACACCTACGAAGCACTGAAAATTTAGGGGGTAAGACTTTTTTATTATCTATGTACTGGAAAACTTCAGTCGAATATTATACACAAATTTGATGTATAGATATAAAATTTTACCTGAAAGTGGAATATCTCCGCCACAATAACATGAAATATAGGTACAACCCCAGCTGAGTACGCCCATACAGAGACAGCTATTGCAAGCATCGGTAGCCAGTCGGGTGGATTAAAACCAATACGCTGCAGTAACAAATGTATACCCATACTTGACATTGCTAATGCTATCAAAGCTTGCATCGATATAATGATGACCTGTCGACAATACAAATAAGTTATCATAATATTTTAAACAATTTTTTTTCATTATGTACAAAAAAATATATTCACCTTCCTTCCGAATTTTCGCACCAACACCATCGATACTACAGATCCGAAAAGCAACAAAACTGGCACTACTAGTGACTGTAGATTTGGGTCAAATGATACACCACTAGAGGATAAAATTACCCAAACGTACGTCATTATAGCGAAGGTACCACTGCCTGATTGCGAAGTGTTAATCAGTATGACGCGAAGAAATCCTCTGCGCCACGCTTTGTTTTTAACTGAAAATTTAATAACATATAATCGTCATCTATGATTATTCATTATACCCAAGTAAAATACATTGTTCAGGTCGCAAATTTAGTAGCTGAAGCCAAGTCAAGAGATTTTCCATAAAAATTTCGCAAACTGCAACAACATTTCGTTCAATAGAAAAGTAAGATTTCAAATATATTAATATAATGCCTAACTATTATCTGCTATATGATAAATAACAGTCATTAAATAACGAATTAATTATATAGATGCGAAAAATCTTATTGTAATATTTAAACTTAAGCTAAGTTAATTAAAATTTGGAGCTACTTACAAATATTGACAAATGTGAGATAAGGTAGTGATTTATAATACTGCTCTTCATCTTTCATATCACTCACTTCAAGTTGTATAATCTTGTGATCTGCTTGCAAACCTCTCAGTTTAGCTAAGGTCTTCACAGCCTCCTAAAAGTATTTTTCTCTTCCATCATGCGTCAGGAATAATATAAATAAAAAGAAATCAATGTGTAATTTTGGGAGATACATTTCAACATTTCAATTGTAATGAAAACTTAATTGAACTTGAAACTTATTTGCACCTCTAATTTCTTGGATATCATCAAGTACGACAGTTAACACTTGATTGTACGATCCTAGTATGAAGCAAAAATGGGTAAATATCATACACTTAAACTGTAAGCGAAACTTGGTGCAGTCTTAAGTACCTATTACTACAACAAGGTGTGACTATTACCTATAGACCTCTCAAAGAGCATTTTCAGATGTTATAGCGTATAATATCATATCGATAGTTGGCGTTGTTTTCGATTTCTGTGATGTTACGGCTGATTCTATTCAAAAATAATAAAACTTATAACATAACCAAACAACTTACATCAAGCTTCTCTTTCTTCACTAAGTAAGGAGGCGACTCAGGAGCAAACAACATGAGTACTGTAGACAACGTCGCCGCGGAAAGTGAGATCCACAGAATAGTGTAATAGTTCAAGTAACTCCCCATTATATACATAAAAAGAAAGCCCACATTTTGCATTAATATAAGAAGAGAAACAGTTGATCCTCGGATACTGTCTTGACTTATTTCTCGCACATACATTGGGATGGCGATAAAACAACCTGCTGATGCAATTCCCGCTACTGCTCTTGATAAAATCAACAGTGTAGTGTTTGTAGCAAGTAGCCTTAGTACCCAGCTCATCTGAAAAATAACACATGCTTCAAAATTATCTTTCCTAGGATTTTCCGGAGTCTAAAAAATGAAGGTTTTACCTTAATTTTGATAATCTAACGTGCAGCTGTGTGAACATTATAATTATATGTAACTGACAGCTTTTGTTTTACTCCGATCTTTCATTCATAGTATTAAACTCATATAAAATTAGAGATCTTACCAGTTGTGGTATCCCTACTGCCAATACGCCAATTTTCCTTCCAAATACATTTGTTATATATGCATAAAAAGACACCAACAACACTGCTGTAAAAGGTAAAATACTGCCAACCCATGTTAATTCACTACTTGATAAAGGAGATCCAGTCGGCGATAGTTCTGACGTCAGAATTTTCGTCATAGGTGACAA